TTTAATATTTTATATAATGCAATGAATCCTAAAGACAAAGCTTTGAAAACACGAAAAAGTTTAAAAGAAAAAATTATGGTATTGTGCTATGAAATGGCCGGATTGCGAAACAAGCAAGTAAGCGGTGTCAAAGCTGCACTGGGATTATTTTTTACAAAATCTGGAGCTTCGGCTCATTGTATTAATACAATGGCTAATATGGGATTATGTACAACATACCAAACGGCTTTTAATAAAATTATGAAATAAGTGATAAGCACTATGATAGTGTGAAAAAATATGTTCAAGATCACGTAGGTTAAAATCTTTTTAAAATAATTGACTTATTAAATATACATACTAATTTTATTACAATTTTTAAGTGTAATAGTCTTTTTATTGCATATGTAGATGATTATTATAATCTTCATAGTACTTGTATTCCATCAACAAATTCAGCTAAACAAATCGTTCACATGGCCACCATATTATTTAATACTATTAAATGTCCACCTATTTCTTATAATTCTACATATGGTTTATCTGTTCATAATCTGCAAGGTGTTGACGCATTTCTCTTAAAAACAATTTGCCAAATATATATATTTACTTTAGCGAATAGTTACAATTCAGAAAAGTCAAATTTGAGTTGGGTATCAAATAAAACAAACTTAATTGAAAATTTAACAATTCATTCTTACAATGCAAATATTGCACAAAAGTATCATAGAAAATTTAATCAAACCAAATTAATAGACTGCATCGAATTGGATTTAAAGAATGCTAAAGATTATGTTGAAGCTGTTAAAACATTTTTAAGGTTAGTATATATGCAATGATTTTTTAATTAAAGCTATATGCTAATTTATTTAATTTAAAAGCTTGCCAGAAGTAATTGAATATCTAAGAAATTATATTATTCCACTTCTGGCAGATTTTCCTGGACAATTATTCATACAAAGAGCTATTGTAAAAAAATTAGAATCTGAAGAATTACCAATTCCGAAAGAAATTATCCATCTAGTACCTTTTTTGGGCCCGTTATATGTATCTCTCAATACACGAGAGTCAATTATAATTGCATTTTATTCTTTTTTTGATCAATTATATAAGACTGTGTTTTAAAAAAAACAAAAGCTTGTTGCCAAACCTAGACCATGGCGCATTAATTTGTTACTGTATTTAGCGCATGAAGGTTGGCTTTTAATTAAAAGGTATA